TAATTCCTTGGTTCAACGACACAATCACGATGTCAATTTTAATACTGCGACACAAAGTTGTATCGATCGCGGGTATTTTAGGCGACCTACCACACTTCGAGACAATATTTTATACCGTGTAAATAAATCAGCTTGAACTTTAGGATTTTACTTAAACACGAAGAAAGGACAAGAAAATGCCGTATAGTTCTAAATTTCAAGCTGATCTATTTACAGATGTACCAACATGCTCACCTCTTCACTGTTGTACTTAAACATTTTGATTCAGGTAAAATATGTGTTACTGTAATCAAAGGGATGTCGAGTCGTATGAACACGACGTTATGTGCGTTAATGTAGATTTTCTTCTACTCTTGCGTCAAAATTAAATAATTGAATTTCATATTTTGGTACCTAAAAACAAAAGTAAATTGCACGGACGATCGAAAAAGCTATATAGTTAATCGTTTCACGGTGTAAATAGTGTGTATGGCCAGAACAACGTGGAAAATATATTCTTAATTTAGCGGTTCAAACCGGTTCGAACCGGTTTGAACCGTTATTTTTTGCTTCCCGGAACTGAACCGGAACCGAACCGAAAGCCGTGAACCCGAACCGGAACCGAACCGATAAAAATTTCGGTTCGACACTCTGCCATCAACTGTTTCTGAAATTCTCGAGAGAAATAGGCTCAGAGGAAGTGTCTTTACTGGGACGACCCTGGTGGACGTCCCACCTGATCGACAGGAACATATTGTTCAGACAAGTCGCACAAACCCTCGACTGTCGGCCATCGAGACTTCCATGGATTCGTCTCGGGATTCGGGCTTCAGAGTGTCACCATGGATCGTAAAATGCCATCTGCGAGGTGCTGGACTAAATGCCTGTAAACCACCTCAGAAGCCGATGAAAAAGAAATAAAAATAACCTGGTATTTATGTTGAGGTGGACCTCAGCGGGGATCTCGGCCAAAGGAAGAAGGTTGTCTGGTGTGACGAATCTAAGTTTGGGATGGAATTCAACACATGCATGATTCAAAAGGCGACAGATCTGATCTCCGCTATCAGCTGCTTACAGTGAAGCATGTTGGAGGTAGCGTGATGGTGTTTCTCTGTTCGTGGCCAGCTAATTTAACCTCTTTGCCTTTCTGATAAACTAGTGTTTTTTTTTAAATTTTATTTTTGCTCTTTGTGTCGGTCTCCTTCACAGAATTCATGGAGTAATGACGAAAGAGCTCTATGACGGAAACCTTGCGTATGCCTTGCTGCCCTGGGCACAAAGGAATGGCGGCCGTGGCGCTCATCCAGACTTCTGAGAAATCGGTTTAGGAAAAGAAGGCTGTATCTGATGGAGTGGCCGGCGCAGTCCCCTGACATTAATCCAGTCGAGCACCTTTGGAAAATGTTCTGCCGTCGTCAGAAGGAAAAAAAAAAGCTAGCAATCTTGAGCAGACATTTTACCAACTGCAGCCGGAGTGGACCAACCTAGGGCAGATAGGCTTTAACAATTTGCTGAATTTTATGCCTCATCGTTGCCAAGTGATGATTGAGGTTGAGGGCTTTATCTACGAAGTATTGAGCAGCTTAAGTTCATATCTAGAGGTGAAGGCTAACGCGGTGCCCTATTTTGTCGAAACAGCCAGATTATCGACGACGTCCTGCTGCGCTGCTGCTACCAGTTTTGCCATAAATGTTTATTTAAAATTATTTTAATTTATGTTTTAGAGAAAATTGGTGAGTACCATAGAAATATGTCAACATAGTGGTACATTACAGTTTCTCTGCATGTATTACAGTTCTTAAATAAGATAGCCACGCAACACAGCATTATCATATCTTTGTTCACAAGTGTATGTGTGACATTTGGACTCTAGTGCTGTGTTAGCGTTTGGCTGGAAAGGGTGTTCTGAATGACTGAACGCGGGTTCCAACCAAACGCTGACGTTGCGCTCGCTTCCATAATGTGACTCGCGCTGTCCTCCGGTACATAACATAGAAAACACAGCAGTACGGTCATATTGTCGCGGATGGAAACGGCCAGACCAGCGTAAAACTGAAAGGAAATGTTTAATCGGCGAGCTTGTGCCAGAAACAAAAGAAATAACGAGCGTCGACGGCGGCAGCTGAGCGACGATGCATCGGCGTGACAGCTGGTTAGCACGAGAGCGAATCCGTCGTCGTCAGGAGAGTCTGAACGAGTCGGCAGAGCCGCGCTGGGCTCCTTACCTACTGCGCTCGGCTTCTTCGAAGATTCGGCCTGGAATGTTCGGGGGCGAGCTAGGGCGAGAATGACTCTGCAAGGACGCGCTGGGCTCGTTGCCGTTTACACTCGCGGTAAAGAGTAAATTCGAATAGTCTAAAAGCAGGGAGATTGTTTCTTCTCGCTCATGCGCGCGGCAGTATTACCAAGGAGGTGTTCCGCGGGCGAGTGGCGGTCCCAACGCCGCGAGTTGCTCGTCCCAGCAGCAAGATAGTTTGGGGGTATCCTCGCTCCGCCCTGGAATTGTGGCAGTCACGGCCTGTTAGGCGAATGACGACGACCTCCTCCGAAGGATCCCGGCTCATTACCCGCGGAGGCGAAACTGGATCGCGGGACGAGCCGTCGAAGGAGCGAAGGACGCCTTGGCGGCAGTGCGCATATCAGGTGGCCGAACCAGTCGGGAGGGGCATTAGCGATTGGCTGCAGTGTCATTACACTGCGCACGACCCGGCCCGCCCAGCCGTCGACCTCGGCGAGCCGGGCGCCGAGAGCAGGCTGTGCGCTTGCGGTGAGGAGAGACCACCTCCGGGTCGTGGCCTCTTCGCTTCGGAGAAAACATACAAACAGCAACGACAAAGAAGAAATGACTACGGGGGTTTGAGGTTTGGCCGAGACTCGACGCTGGGGGATTGCGTTTCGTCGGTGCTATGTAGCAGGGTGGCGCGGCGTACAGTTGTTTGAATCAACTGAAGAGCGCGTTGGTAAACTTGATCGACCACACAAAGAGTAAAACAAACTCTGGACGAAGGACGACGAAAATTTCCTTTCAACTAGCAACGACATTCCTTCTGTGGTCAGTACAGCTGTTTGTACGCGTCAGCCTGAGTTGTATGTATGTGTGTGTTTTGATGTTCATTTACTCTTTTTTCTTTTGCCGGTGCACGAAGGACGTGCTTGGCGGGACGCTTGACGGGTCGAATAGCTCTATTTGTTACATTGTAGCTTTCTACTTGGGATATTATTCAGTTTATTTCCCGTGACAACGCGAACTGCAACTACAGCATAAATATCTGGTTGCGAAGACGTCTCACGAAGCGGAACCATTACGATGATCGTTTTTTTTTTCCTCTGTCTCTTTTTCTCTCTTTGATCACATTCGTAGCTCTTGTGGCGAAGAACAACAACTGATGAACCGAGTACAGTACGTCCGCTGTTACACTGCTAATGCACCACGGAAAAGAAAGTGCACTCTCTGAGGCGCGTTTCTTCCTCGTTTGACGACCTGCCACATTGATTAATCATAAAAAAAAAAAAACTGTCTGCCGACATGTGCGAAACATATAGGGCGGTTCAAGTCATCGGGCTTGATCTAAAATGAACCGTAAAAATCGACGGCTTTACGTAGCAATCTAAACTTTTTGTCAAAGGTGTATTTCACAGCTCGATTTTTTCTTGGAAAATTACAAAGCGTAGTTCTCTTTTAGTAAAAAATAGGGCCAAGGAACTTGCCAGGGTCTACGGCCCGGGCGGCGACCCAGACGACCAAGTCCAGTAGCGGGGAGCGTTTTGCGTCGTATTGATATATGGCGTCGGGAGCAGCGTCTGAAGGTGCAGCCGACCAGCGAAAGATAGCAGACGACACGCAGACGAAATCCGTTGGCAGCAAAAGCGCCGCCGTTGTGCAGACGCGTTTTTTACTGTTTTGCTTTTATTGTTCGCATTTATTTTTTAATCGAAGGTAGATTTAAAAAAAATTATATTCATTTTAATAAACCACGGTGGTCGCGAGCCGTCGTGATAAGGAGGGTGCGCCATCTATCAATACGAACACCAAACACACCCCGCTACTGGACCCCTGTCTTCTGCGTTGCTGCCCGCCGTAGACCCTGGCAAGTTTCTTGGCCTTATTTCTTACAGAAAGAGAGCTACGCTTTGTAATTTTACTAGAAGAAACCGACCTGTGAATTAGACCTGTGACGAAAAGTTTAGATTGCTACGTGCAGCTGTCGATTTTTACGGTCCATTTTAGATCGACCCTTGTGACTTGGACCACCCTATATATGTACGAAGCAGACATGCTTCGAACATACTCGATGCGTTTCCGCGTATAATTTAGTCCTCGCATCTGCGGCGAGAACCGCGTCCCTCGCGTGAACAACACAACAGTCCATTGGCAAGGTAACGTGGACGCGCGCAAATCGAATCTGGTAGGGTATAGTGGCGTGGGGAAACAGATCAACAATTGTAGCGTCTCCTATTCTAGTTATTTTTTTATTTTTTTTTTTAGGACAAGTAACCAGCACGCGAGATATGCTCCTCAGTCGTGCGTGCTCTGTTTCTTTTTTTCTTTTGGGGTGGTTACACGACTTTTATAGACATTCGTCGTTGTGGTCAGTCGGGTTTATGGACGTCATGCATCGTGGAAGGACCGGTCTATGGAATCTGAGGCCAGCTTCGCCGAGACCACGGTGGGAGAAGGAGAGATGTGTCTGCACGCGGTGCCGCCTCGCCGAGGAACGAGCGTGGCGAAGGTTCGCTCACATTTCTAACCAATGACGTGAGATGCGCAGCATGACTAGGGGCTCGAGGAAGCGTTCTCATTCGCGCACGGGCTTTCGAGGCCGCGCGAGGTTCCACTGCACCCGTGTGAAGGCCCCTAGACCGACAGTGTCCCTGTCGGGGGATGCTCGAAGCCAGAAGGAAACTTCTGGCCTTGTATACAGACACCTCTCTTCTCCCATCGTGACTCGGGCACTGCGTTCGCTGTTTTAATATGTATGGCTTATATGGTTGTGCTTGTTCATGTTGTTGTCTCGCCGCAGGTGTTTGAAGAGGTCCAGACCTGTTGCGCGGCTCTTTCCGAGCGTCTGGGGCAGCAGAGCTACTTCTTCGGCGACAAGTGAGTACCTTGGATCAATAAGAATTGGTACGAGCTCAGTGAGAAATGTGTCGAGTAGATCCGCCCTGTGGCGAGCAGCGTGCGTGCGAGAGAAGACTTTGCATTACAGAACGCGGCACAGTTACGCGTGATTCACGCGTTGCGATGTTTGCTCGCGATTTTGCAGTTCCGACGTTTTTAGCGGGGCGAGCGACGTCGCAACTGCGAAATTGCGAGCGAAATCGCACCGTGCGACTGAATCTGGCATTAGACGAAACACGATGTCGCCGTTTGTTTCCAGTTTTGTGTTGTTCAAGTTCCGTAAAGGTAGAGCCAATGTGACGATATCCGTGTGGTGAAATGAACCGGCACGCGGCAGCGAGTTGGTCAGAATAATGTTCGAGCTTAGAAGTGAATTTATACGAGTGAACCGTGAGAAAACACTTTGTCGTAATCGTGCTAACTTTGTCCCATAGTGTGCATTACTCCCAGCTTTAGTTTGGTTTTGTGGAATTACCCGAATACCAGTTAAGGCACGCGAGGGATTATTCCTCTTTGTTACAAGGTACCACCGCCACTGGAATGAGTGAAATTCTACTTCTCGCAGTATATCTCGATTCGGATTTTTTTCTTCATACGTTGCTTTCACTGTGAGAGGTCAGCCGGTGCCATGAATTTGTCGCCAGAAAACAGAAACGGCGCAGCTCTCTTGATTTGAGCCACGATTCGAACGCCTCTGGTTTTCATGTTTTTTTTTTTTTTTTGTAGTTCTTTGTTTGTGATTTTTACTTAGTATTTTTAGGGCCGCACGTTGATCTACGTCGTTTAGAAATTCAAGCAAAAAAGATATCTGCATCTGCCTCACACTTCTATATGGGGCAAGGGCGAGAAATGGAGGATAGTGAGAAGGAAATGTTTGCGTCAAAATTGACGTCATTCGTTTTTCTTCTCGTTCTGTGGCCGCTTGCTCCGAGCCAGTGACGAATAACGCGACTATTGCGAGGGGCGCGTCGAGTCAGTCGGAGGAACTGTCATTATTGACGCAAACACGTACATGTGCAGAATGAATGAACGCAGCCGACGCTCCTGTCCAGTCTCGACGTTCCCGGCACTCGCCGCGTCTGTTCGAAGAGTCGCCTCCGTCGTCCTCTCCGACCTCTTCTTTCTCGCGGCGACGCGAAGAACGCGCAAACCGAAGCGAGGGAGTGTCGTGCAGGGTGGCTCGTCGAGTGCTGACTACAAAAGACAATCTGCAAACACGGTTCGAGGTGTCTTTCCACCGGGATGCCAGTCCCGTCACATTAGTCGTATGAAATCTGTCGGCAGACATGTTTGAAGCGTTACAAATGTGGGAAGCAAATATGCTTGATCATTCTTGAGGCCTGCCCGCTGGTAAGTCTGTCACCATGTCTGCAGCGAAACAAGGTGACTCGCGCGTGGTATGTGAGCGATGTGACTTCCTTTATAATACAGTTGCGCATTAAGAACGATATCGAAGGCTTTGTGAATCGTTGGTGGTCACCGGGCGTGTGTCAATTGCGTGCAGGCCGACCGAGCTGGACGCCCTGACTTTCGGCCACCTGTACTCGCTGATGACCACGGACCTGGTGGACGGGAGGCTCGGTCAGATCGTGAGCGGGTTCGGGAACCTCGTGGACCTTTGCCACCGCGTCGAGTCCCAGTACTTCGCGGACTCCTAGCCCCCGCTACCGCGGCCTCCTCGACTTTGGGTCTGACTGACACCGCGGCAGCCAGAAGACGGCACTCCCGTTGCGCGTACGACCAGGACACGCAGCAGCCCTTGTTTCGCTTTCGATCGTCTTGGCATCTAAATAATGCGTTTGTTGAATAAGAAAAAAAAAATAACAATAAAGAAGTACGCAAACTTGACCATGTTGACCAAAGTGGGGAGCAAAGCATATGTTTAGCGCAAGCAGCCCCCTCGCAGGACCACGTAGCGGAAATCGACGGGATCACGTGACGTCATTTTCCCCAATTTGCGCCAATAATAGTTTCCCGGTTAAACTTTGCGCGAAAAATTGACGTAATGTTACACTTTCCTCGCTAAATTTGGCGGAGAAATTGACGTAACGGATTTTCGTGACGGTTTTCTCAAAAATTCGGCGTATACATGATATTCTGTGGTAAAAGAAAAAAAATCACCAATTTGACGCAGCGAGACGGTGATTTTGTTACATGTATCGCTTTCCAAATGGTGGGCATTACTTGTGGGGGTTCATGAGTGGTGACGTTGGCGATTATTATTGATCAAGAAAAAGTTTTGTGTAATAAAGTGTGATTTTAAGCGTCAAGGTGCGCTTAATACTAAAGATAATCTTTATTTATAGGATGAATCGTCTACTAGCTTGTTGCTCTTCCATCAGCCTGGTGATAATCTTTCTAGCTCTTAATTCTGTCGTGCTTCTGAAAGAGCTTCACGCCGGTGGAAGGGAAACATGTTGTTAAAGTCAGTGATCGAATGTCAGGAAATACGATATCAGGGGCTGTGGGACCAGCCTCGGTGGGGATGGGCTCGCATAATTTATTGTCGAAGATTCGCCAGCTTCACCCACCTGTAACGCTTCAGGAAGGCTCACGAGTTGTTAATTTTTATGCAGGTCTAAATAGTGTGCTGTAATAAAGATGCGGTGGTCTCGGAAAATTTGTTAGTGGTGGTGCTTTTTGTCTTAGCGGTCTGTTTTTCTCGCATAACTTCAGAATCCGGTGGTTATATATTTCACGTTTTCTTCGTACCCCGAAGGCCTCTCAATACCGAGGTGACTAGTCAGGTTGTCTACTTTTTCCTGACTTGTGGGCTTTGTTTTTCTGCATCATGGTAGATCGCTGCTGTTTTGATTATTTTACCGCGGAATGAGAAGAGAAGAAAAGGATGTGTACTGGTGGAATTTCGAATTTTCTTTCCAGCATGCACAACGAAGGCAGTTAGTGCAACCCCGATGCTTCATGTGTTCGAACCAAATTAGCAATTCGCGGTCGCGTCCTTGAATTTATTCTCGAGCGACGATTGTGTCACCAACCTGCTGCGAGCGTTCCCTTTCCGCATATCGCCGATGGGATGCTCCGACCTGTACTGCCTAAATGTAAAAAAAAAAAAAAAAAAAAAAGACCGGCTTTATCGGACGCCAAATAGTATTTTTATGCAGCGTTTCAACGGTCCGTTGGTACTGAATACAGGACCATTTACTCGAAAACAGGTTCATCCTTTTTCTAAAGAGCTCCCGTGCTCTACCTTTTTGCACTACACGAAAATTCAATCATTTCCGATTGGCAGAAAAAAGAGGTTTGCATTGGGGCTGAGAAATCGATAGCACGGACCATTTTAGAACACCCTCACTGTGATTGGAATGATTGGCTTCGCTGTTGACTGTGTGGGCGAGGTAACGAACAGGATTGCCCGCATAGTTTGCCGTGGTGAGGACCGATTCTAAAGACACGCTCACACTCTTGCGCTCGACGTCGACCGACTGAGACAAGATCGGTTTTTAAGCCTTTCGTGACGGCTTACGTCTAAAGCCCTGCATATCCGCGGCAAACTGGCTGATGAAGATAAAAATGAATCAGATTTGGCAGATTGCGGATCGGATGCGGATGTCCACGGGTCCGCATCTCTATTTCTGCCGAGGCAACCATAAACGTGTGCGACCGCTCAGTGTAGAACGAATAAGTGAGTGATACTATGAACTTCATTATCGAATTTATTGCGGGAGCAAACAGATCAAAGGCTCTATTCGGGGAGAAAGTTGTTCTTTACGTCAAGAAAGGTTTGATTCTCACCAAAGATAGCTTTAGAACGTTCTATGTCGGCGGAAATGCTGTCCCTAGAAAAAGTAAAGAATGCAGGAGTATCAGTCGTCCCGGGAAAGCGTATTCTTGTTTGGCAGAGAAAGAGCGGAAAACGTTATTTTGGCAAAGAAAACCCAAAACGTACAAGCCATAAGAAAGCCGAAAAAGCCTGCAAGTTATTTTTTCGCCTTAGTTGATCGAGGAGATTGAATTCGATCCTCTGGAGTGGTAGAACTTGAGCCAGCATGAGTTTCCGCACTTCATTCTTGTAGCGTACTTCGTGCATACCACCTAGCATCAAGTGCACCAACGGAAAGAGACTTCTCATTAGCGGATATTAATTTAAGAAGGGCGAACTAGTCCGAATCCATCCATGTTGACGATATTCTGTTTCTTCGACACACCAACCTCGACAAACGAAACGTTGCGTGTGCGTGCGTTTTCTTTTTCTCGACAGTTGTCACTGAGTTGTTTTTAAGTATGTGGTTCCAGGCATGCCGTCGAGAGGTGTTGCCATTATTGACTACTGCGATATTTCGCCAGTGGTTTACTGGCGCCTTACCACATATACACGAGTACATTGCTGCAATAAGGGAGCGCCTTTGCTCTTCCTTTTTTTATTGTTTGGCCTAAATAAAATGACAGAATGTTATTAGTCTGTCCTTTGTTATTTCTAATGTTTATAAAATATGCGTCTGCTTGAAGTGGGTTTAACAAAGAAAGAAGGAAAATAAATATGAAAATTTTCTTTCTTTTGAGCGCATCTTCTGGACAGAGTGTCAGTGTCACGAACTCCCAAGACGATATCATAACTGCGATCATCTTTCCAGCGATGCGAAGTGTGTTTGGAAGGATGATCGCTTATTTTATAAATACGAGCAAAGAGATTACGATAAAATGAATTTCACCGTATTCTGACACGAAGAGTTCTTTGTACATAGGTAAGCAGGCAGCTTAAAGAATACTATCCAGTTGCTTTTTTTGGTTTAATTTTTATTCATTCTTCATTTTATGATGTAAAATGAATGCGCAGATTGAGGGTCGGATGCGGTTCCGAATTTTGCGGAGCGATTCGAATGCGGATACAAAATCTGCGGATGCGGATCGCATGAGGATGATCAAACTGTTATCCGCGGAGGGCTCTACTTAGGACAGGCTGCATGGCTGCGCATCCGGTCATAAGCCGTCTGAAAAGGCTTAAAAAACGGCATTGTTTCAGTCGGTCGGAGTCAAACGCAAGTGTGGGAATGGGGCTCAAAGGACAACTCGGTCAATATTTTTGAATTTGGGATCAGGTCTGTTTTCAGCTAAAGCAGTGTCCTTAAATTACAAGGTATAACTTTTTTTTTTTTTTTTTTTTTAATGCGTGTAGTTTTATAAATTTCACTGCTTAAAGTTTGGTTTCGGACGTCTGTGGCGAAGCCCAAACTATCTGCTAGAGGGATGGCAACACTGATCATCAGTCGCACGGCCGCGACGTGACGCCACACTGGCGCTGCGGTACGCGGTTACAACCAGTCCGCCGCGGGTCTACCGGGACGTGACGTCACAAGGGAGCTGCGCCAGTGTTCTCTGACTTAAAAGCTAACCCGCTTGCCGCCCGCTAAAGAGCAGCTGGTCGCATATTTAAAATCGGTTTTAGTGGAGGACGTGGTTTTACTTTGACGGAATATTTCGGCTGTGATTATACAACGTGCTACCAAAGCGATTTCAGTCATTTATTTTGGTTTCATTGTCGAAAGAAGTTGACTTTTAAGGTTGATTACACCTTGTAGTCGTTCCGCCAGCACCTTCTTCAAAATCTTACAGTCAACATTCGTGAGAGGAATCTGGCGGTTCGCTCCAACAAAACGGAGCTTCACTCGATCTTCGCTCTTTGGAATTAGAACAGTATAACTAAACACAAAGGACGGAGGCAAAACATTATAAGTTGGTACGCCTCGGGAAACACACAGTGCAAAAAAAGGAGACACTTGATCTTTACAGAACTCGGCTCCGAAACCATCAGGTCCAGGCGATTTCCTGGACTTGAAAAGGTCTATTTGCCTTTTTCACTTCGAATAAAGTTCTAGTCTCAGAGTTACGCCACATACGTGGCAGTCTGCTTTATCGGCATTTAATAAGCAAAAGCGCACATGTGCGCATGGGTATCGCGTAGCGCCTTCGAGATGGCCACGGTTGCTGGAACGTCGAGATAGACGATTCGTTATCTCTTAATTAATTCCAAATTTCATCGGAGTTAATTGTTGAAATTAAAAGCTGCGGCTAGGTGGCGCAAGCCGCCGCCCGATTAAGAGGGTTTAGTCGTATGCATCCATCCAATACCACCTAAAAGACGAGGCCTGCGCATGACGTCATCGTTAGTGGATCCCTGAACCGCCTCAAGCGGAAAAGGGGCTGAAGCTTGACGAGAGTATGGCGCAAAGCGTCAGACGCGTGCGTCTTTGTGTCGCCACTTGCTAGAGTAACGCGTGTTGTGAGACGCTCGAAGACGCGCTGGCGGCGACGCTGACGCGTCTTGACGTTCGTCGCAGGCAGAGAGAACAGTGACGTGCGTGCTGGGGAGAACGAAGCCAACAGACTTCGCCTAGAGCAGGGTTCTCCGAACGTTTTGGCTAGGGAACCGGTTTGGGGACCTGTTTGGGGACCTCGAGGGCAGAAAATCAGATTAGACAATATAAACGAGGAAATAGTCAGCAAATAAACCGAAAATAAGCATTTAAATACGGAAACACCTGAACTAGCTAGAGCGAAAATTCAAAACGAAATGTAAGGTACACAAATGCACATACTTTATTTTTAAGTGAAATATTTCACTACTTATGACATTACAACATAATTGTGACCCCGAGAACACACCACACTTAAATCAGAGCGCATATGAACTTTGGCATATTCACACAGGGCAGAAGGCTAAGGAAAATGGGCGATCAGATCAATTCAGTATGCACGATATACATGAGAACGCAAAGGATTATTTTTTCATAGTTACGCAGACATGAAGGAGGGAACTACGAATAGTAATTCTGGTGACGACAGAACAATAAATAATATGGCGAGAGAACCTGCGTTTTGATTAATTTTTTTCTAGACGTACGCGAATAGTAGATTTTGAGTTCGAAGCGAATAGTGATTTTGGCCGAATATTTTCTAATCAAATACCGAAGTTTTTTTTCATGTTTTTCACTACTGCACCGTGCCTAAAGGAAAACCCATCTGAACTCGTAAAGGCCGTTCCCAAGCTTCAAATTGCCTATATCTAAGCCAATCTTAGTTTAGCTATATTTCTGGACTGTGACCTCAGAAATTTATTGCGTATATGGGAGTGCAAGTAAACGATGCATTTGCCATAAAAATAAACCTACATAGATTCCCACCTACATCTAATTGAGGGAATTTATAAATTGTCTCGCAATATGCAGATATTCTTTACTAAATATAGAATTTGAGAAAAATAAATGATGAATGATGAACGTAGGTTGTCAGGACACATCTGCTTTAACATAAACTCTTGCATAATATCCACAGTTTCATTTTGAAAATTTAATTGCAGTGAAGATATAAACATGCACAAATTTTCCGTACTTTTTTTACACACCACGCGCGCGCATGCAACATCCTTCTCTGAAAGTGGGATTTCCTCTTAATGACGTGACTGTAATATTTGTACCTTTCGAATTGTTGAGGGCGGCCGGTTAGCCCCGTTGAATTATAGAGCACCGGTGCATTGAGGATCAGTCTTTAGTATAGTAACGCGTTACTAGTAACGCGTTACTGTAACTTCGTTACTTTTTTGGTTACTTGTAACTGTAACGAGTTACCTTTTAAAAATATAAGTTGTAACTATAGTTCTATTAC